TGTGTCCATTGCACATTTTTCTCCCTTTACTACACAGAAAATTGAACAGCTTACAGCTTCCAATGCTGTCAGTAGTACAAACTAGCAGGAGTGTTGACTTTTACAAATGAGATGTATTAGATCTTTTCTTTTTTTTTTTAAAGAAAAACCATTCATCTGAGTTCTTAAAATCTCTTGAATTAAAAACTATTGTAACATCAAATTTTAAATTAAAGATAAATAATTCTGTGCTGGTCAAGCAAAATGCAGCCAAAGATTAGAGTTAGCTTATGGTTTCCTGAGTTTGTTCCAGTCTAGAACCTGCTGACTGATAGGCAAGTAAACAAAGTCTGTTATCATCAAGATCTTGGCATAAAATGGAAGACGCTGATGGGAGAGTAGACCTACCTGTATGTCAAAAGTAGTACTTATAACTTTCTTGCCTTTGCTTTTACAAAATAGCTCCTTCTCTGGAGGGCATTTTCCAGAGATTAACTATTGCTGTTGTCACTGTTATTCTTCAGGGACTCTTTGATACTCATCATAATGTCACTGTGCATTTACAATAATGTTTTATCAGAAGTGGGGAAAACACAGGTGCTCCTTTGACCTGTAATTCAAAGGGAGAAGTTTAGCATTTTATACTCTCTTGGTCTCTTGTTCGCCCAAGGATCCATATCCTTATGATCTAACTCTACCTTGGAAGCATCCCTGAACTCATTCACCTATGTTCTTTCTCTGTTGGAAGAAACTCCAATCAACAGACATCTATCTACACAGTACTGTAGACAACACATGCTACTTAGAATCATCTGTCCAGAAATGAGCAAGTAAAATTGTACTGTATAATAGAAGAAACAGTTTTTTTTTCAACCAATATACAGAAGCAGGAGACAATGTCACTTACAGAAAGAAGTAACTGAGGATTAAATGAAGGAAAGTTGTACAGGCAGTGTAAGAAGATTTTTGAAACATTAAGAAAAAATAAAATCCCTTGAAATATACTCTATGGTTATTTGGGAACAGCCTTTCTCAAATTTTTATTATTCTGCAATAACTTTGAGTAGATTTCTTTGTATTTGCTGCTTTGTCGCACATGTATTTATATTTGGAGTATCTATTTTTATGACCATTTTTATTGGAATTAAACATGAGCAAAAAACATCACCCTTAAAGATTTTTCATAGAATAATGGAAAAATCTAGGCTAAAACTATCACTCCAGGTTGAAGTAAGCCCACCATTTTAGATGGGCTATGGTTGGATTAAGAGTAAATGGAAATCACATGCAAAATTATCCATAGCCTTCAGCAAATCATCTGAAGAATATTTAGCAAACTTAAAAAAAAAGCTTTGCACTGTGATTTTCACATTGTATCACTAATAAAAAGTAGAAAAGCAACCCTCAAAGTTCTTCTAAATTATCTGCCTAATGCATTTTGATTAAACACTTCCACATGGTTATTATAAACCACTAATGTGTCTCACATTGAGAATTCTTTCTGTGAGTGACACCTCAATGATTTAAAAGTACCACTTCATGAGAATAAAGTGGGAGAAATATATGCCTTTGGGCCTTTACTGTAGGCACATAGACAACAACTTAATCTTACTGAATGTTCTCTATGCAGAGCTATCATCAGTTCTTGTCACGAGGGTTGTCAGGGAGCCTTCTTACAGACTTGCTGTCATTCACATCAAAGATACTGGCGTTAGTGTTTTAATATCCAATCTCTTCCCAATTACAAATTTGTTCCAGGCTTCCCTCCAATAATCTAAATCCATTTCCAGTGACCGGGGACTACTACAACCTCCACCCTGCCAACAAAAGAGCTGTCCTAGAAGATGGATTTATAGCAAATATCTTTTTCTAAAAAAATCTTTTTAGATTATTCAATCATTTGAATGGTGATTTTAGGTTAAAAAGAGCATAACGGTGATAAGATGGAGGAACAGTTAAATCTCACAAGGCACAATCAGAATCACTATTGTTTTGTTCCCATAAGTCATATGATGAAAGTTTTCATATATCCATCTTCTGATACATTGCACACAGATTCCTTAGAATCTCATCCTTCTCAGTGAGATTATTACAAAAATGGAAACAAATACTATTTATGTAATCTTTTTTTAAAGCACAGGTCTAGTATGAAATATTAAACACTGAAGTAAATTTAGAAAGTTACCTCATTCTCTTAGTTTCTGAAATGATGAAACAGATAACTAAGTAAGTTTCCTTACAGTATTAATTTTTAACAGCCATATGTGTGGGATCTGATTCTAGCTGTTTCTCCAATTCATCATGGAATTAAATATCTGTTCAAGTTAGGCCAAGCTAGTGTCAGATACTGTTGTAGATAAATGCAACTTGAAGAGATAGCACCTTCTTGTGCTATAAATTAGATGTAAGAAAACATTGTTTATCAGTATTAAATTTGGGTGAAAAATTTGGTACATATAAAATTCAGTCAATATGAGAGCAAAAATTACGTGGAAAAATCCAAATTAGCTTTTAATCTGGATCTACCACTTCCCTTGGATTATGTACAAAGATGCTACTTAAACACTAAATATATGAGTAGCAGTGAGAGGGTCAAGCAGCAGCTCTCCACCAGCTGGGTGCTTTTCTTTGAGACTGTATGTTCAAGTGGTTTTTGGAGAGGTACAGTCTCGGATTTGAAAGTCAGAAAGAATAGATTTCTGTTTTACCCCAGAAAGAATGTTTCAGTTGTCATTGGTCTGAATACATGTAGGAAAAACTGGCATGCTAGATGCTTCATCTCAGAGAACAGGAACAGACAAAATTAGCTCAATTTTCCTTTCTACAGCCATCTGATCACATGGAAGTAAACTGCAGAATATTGTTAAAACTTACGTAAAGGAAATTTGGCTCATCAATGACCCACTGGGAATATGGAGGACCCTGACAAGGATAAGTGATGCATCATTTTTGAACTATGTTAATTAAAAATTGTAGACATTGTTGCTGTTGGATTTTGTTACTTTACCTAGGAGGTTAACAGAAAAAATATGTCTTTTCAGCCTACTTTATCTCATTAGGTATTCCAAGTAACTGAATTTTTCAGCCTACTTAAAGTCCTTCACTGGCTATAATAAAATAATACTATGTTTTAGGTAGGCTTGATAATACAGTTAAATTCACTTAGTTTTCCTATCTACTACACATCAATATAGAAATGAGAATAGGAGAAAGATTGCCCATAAGAATGCAAATTTAAACTTATCTCTATTGTCTTTACATATGCAGATAGTATTAGAGGAACAACCACAAAATTTTCCTCACGCATCTCTCCATCCTTAGGCAGATGGTAGATACTGCACTTGATGGGGCGACAGCAGGTGCTTAAAATCAAATTTTAAGCTGGGCACTGCCTATCCCAGCATTTTTGGAGAATGACGCAAGACAATCACAAGTTTGATTGGAGACTTGGGCACCTTGGAGACTTAGTGAGACCTGGTTTCGAAATAAAAATGGTAGAGGATTTAGCTTGCTGAAAAGGCTTTGGATTCCATGCCTACTACAACAAATTGATAATAATACGTAATAATAATTTTCAATTTGACTACAGAAATAAAAGGTACTTCTAAGAAATAAAAGTTAGAACTAGTTCTGGGAAATAAAACTCTGAACTGAGTGGTTGCTTAGTGGGGGGGCAATAGAATTTTTTAAATGCATGAGTGGTAAGTTTCATGATAAGATGTACACTTGAAATTGCCTGATTTTTAGACAGCAGCAAAAATAACATGAGACTTCCAAGAATCATATTATGTCCTAGAGGAAAAAGTCCACAAAACTTACCAAATTAGATACATCTGAAAAGAAAAAAATCTTCTCCCATATGTATATGGGACAACAAAAGTAATATGCAGATAATCTTTAAAGATGTAAAATTTACATGAATCATTGAAAAAGTGCTAAAATACAAAGGCAAATAATGCCATATATTTTGAGTCATGTGGAACATTTATTGGTATAGAGCAGCAGTTAGTTGCACTTGGTACTAGAGCCATTTAAAGCTCACACAGCACTTAAATTAACATCTGCAAATAAGCACCCTGGTAACTCACACTATTTTCAGAAAATGGTTTCTAATTGTCATTACCTTGACTATATTTAACTGTCTGGTAATGAATGTGAATCAAGAAACACTAAATGCTTTTTCACTGTTAACCACAGTACAGGAACCAGTTTTCCAGTACTGATAACTATTGGACACAATCTATTAAATTAGTGTTGAAAGACCTCCACCCAAAGTTCCTCACTTTGCTCTCTGTGGATAAAATAAACATACAGTCCAAATTTAACCTCATTTTCAAAGATGGTCTCCCAGCAAGTCTTGCCTTTAAAAAAAAATTTTATGATGGTAAATAAACCCTGGAAAATTTCTTCTCAGATTTTACCACCTGAACATGCAGCTGTTGGCTGCCACTATCACACTGGCTCACAGGTCCACACTCACGTGCAAACCTCATCAAGGGCAGACATTTCTAATTGATTCCAGAAGTATTTCTTTTGCTTAGATCAGGGGGCAAAGGAAGAATAATGAGCAGCTTTTCAGAGGGAATTGGAGGTTAGGGTGTTGAGGGGAGGTGGAGGGGAGCTTTTAAAATCTCTGCCTTGGCCAAAAACGCATAGCAATTTTATGGTCAATTGGCGAGAGCATCTGGAACCAAGCATTCTGGCCTGGTAGTTGATGGTAGTGAAACCGGTACACAGGCAACAGCAAGCCATAATGAGTCTCTGTCATGTAGTAGTGGAAGCCGTGTTGATCGTCTGCCAAATACCCTTGTGCCTTTTTCTCAGAGGCAGGTTTCCCCCCAGACACCTTGTCTAGGGCAAGAAATGTTCTCCGGGATGGATCTTCACCTATTTTCATCATTCTCAAGGCCACGTACAAAGAGAGACCCTCAGTTAGAACACGTGTGTGCGGAGTTCCGTGTGTGCTGACAAGGCTTTACATCACAAAGCTGTGTTTGCTTTCATTTGGGGGATACGTTTTCACACACCACAGGCCATCCCGTAAGTGCATGGAGAGTGTAGGATGCTCGGGTTATAAATCACAGCACGAAGCGTGGCACACTCAGATGAGAGGAGGCAAAACGTGAGGCTTTTTGTTATTTCAAAGGTAGGACAGGTGATTATTATGGGGGAAAAGGTGAAGGCAGGCAGGATTTCCTTTTAAAATTCTAAGCAGAAAACCACGAGTAATATGGAAATAATTTCATAGAGTAAATGATGTTTACTTTAAGTTGCTGCTCGTAATTCACCCTGCTGACACGGGTACCTTACACTCACTAAGAAGGCAGCTAAAAGGACACCCATGAAAAATGTAGAGATATGAGTCCACAGGGTGGGCTGGGTCCTGGTAAAGAAAGAGCGAGGCACAAAGCCAGACTACTAAGTTTCCTAAATCTCTATTTTTATCTGAACACTGTACATAATAGGGACTGCATGCACTTGAGAACTCATTCAGAGTTCTGATGTTAGAGTAAATTCAACATTTGCCCTTTTTGTTGCTTGAGAGGGAATTACTTCCTGTTTCCAAACAATGGTAAAACACGCAAAATAGAAAAAATGAAAGAAAATAAGCAAAATATAAAAAGCTAAAAGAAAAAATGAATGGATTACAATTTTTTAAAACTATATTTGGAATGTAAAATTTTCCTTAAAACCATTATAATCTGATGATTATAATCTCCATTCATTAGAAATATATAGAATTAATGTGGCTCAAAATACATATACTATTTAAATGGAGAAACAGTGGTAGGCATTGAATATCTAATTAGAAATAAAGAATGTGAAAAAGTAACTGCAGTTTATGGATTCCTGTGCTTGTACTTTTAATATAAGGACTAAAAGAGAAGGGATAGGTGGATAAGAATATTAGCTATATTTATGTCCTTTAAATTTTGGCTATCTTTATAAAATGAAATATAGAAAACTATTATGCATTAATATTTTCTTGGATGTGACTTTAATATTTTAAAATATCATCCAAAGGCTAATGATGTGACACTTACAATTTACTATGTCAAAACTAATTTGTACTTTCATAAAACAGCAAAGCAATACTCTATTCTATATTGTTTTATTTAGCTGGTATGTCTCCTTCATAGAAATGAAGTGATTATTTTTAAAAGAAACACAAGAAGTAAACAGTATTTGTGAGAAGGAAATCACATCTAAACCACCTCCAGTGACTCACTTTAACCTTCTACTTAGCTTGCCTCACAAGTCATTACATCAGTTATTTTCTATCCACAGTTGTAGACTAGTAAGCAACATGTACATCAGAGAGAGATGCATATTGTGAGGGTGTCACACATAGGACCTGTACTAGTAAATATCTGTTAATTGTATGTGATGATGATAAACTTTAAGCAAGATTATACCTTAGAGTAAAAATCTAATAGTAGAAGGGAGTGAAATGATATAACTATTTTAACATAAAGTGGCAAGATACTTAAACGGAGTTAAAGGTAAGAGAAGAACAGCAAAACTTTATAATACTAACAAAAAATCACAAAGAAGATTTGCTATTAACTCCAGATTTTGTATATTTTATGCTCTTCCCTGGATTTTGCAGTGTGTTTGCTAAGAAATACTGTGTTCTATAAAAAATATTCCCTTATTTATTACAGAAAGGTACTTCTGAATTTTGGAAATTTATAGAATACAAGAGAGATACAACCTGGGACTGTGATTTGGGGTGAGGTGGCTTATGCTGACCTATGAATGGCTAAGGAACAGGTCAATTGACTAATATTTGGCCAGTTTAAGAAAGGATTCAGTAATACAGTATCATGAACATAGATTTTTCTCAATATTCTTCAGAAAATTTCATGTAATATGAGATTATTTCTGGATCCATTGTTAAGTGTGAATAACCTCCTCTACAGGAGTAGAGGAACAAAAGCAAGAATTCACAAATGGGATTACGTCAATTAAAAAGTACAGCAAAGGAAAAACAATCAACTGAGAGAAGAGAAAATGTATGCAATGGCAGAGAATCTTTGGCAGGTGTTTATTTGACAAAGGATTAATATCCAGTATACATGAAGAAATCAAAAAATTGAACAACAGAGGAATGGATAATCCAATCAAAATGAGCAGATGTTTTCAAAAGACACTTTGAAAAATAAGATATACAACACCCAGTAAGTATATAAAATATAGCCAGGGATTTAGCTCAGTGGTTATGGCACCTGCCACGCAACCACAAGGTCCCGAGTTCGATCCCCAGTACCAAAAAAAGAAAGTGTATAAAATATTAATCAATAGTTTTAGATATCAGGAGCAATGCAAATTAAAACTGCATTAAAATTTGATTTCACCCCAATCACAATGGCCACTACAAAAAATACAAAAAATTATAAAAGCTAACAAATGCTGGTGTGGATGTGGCCATACTTCTAGTGGGCACGCAAATTAGTATGGGCTCTGTGGACAACAGTACAGAGTTTCTTCAAGAAACTAAAAATAAAACTGCCATATGAGCCAGCTATACCTCTCTTGGGTATATACCCAAAGGAAATGAGGTCACCATATACAAGAGACACCTGCATGGCTTTGTTTAGTGTGACTGCAGCCACAATGACTAAAATAATCAAGGTGCCTATCAGTAGAAGAATGGATAAGGAATGTAATAAAATATATATATACATATATATACATATACTTGTATTTGTATATATATAGATATAGATATAGATATAGATATACACATGCACATCACAGAAAAATGGATGGAATCAGGGAAATGCAATGTGAAGTGAAATATACTAGACACAGAAATCAAGTATCATATGCATGCTTTCTGTCATATGTGGAAATGGAAAAGAAGAAAAGACCTGAAAGTAGGGTACCATTCCTAGGGAAGGAGACAGTTTGAGGGAGGAGAGAGAGTAGTGTATTACAGGATAGAAAGGAAGGCAGACATGATTAACACACAACATATGCGCATATGGGAATTTTATATTAAATCCAATTAATATGTTAATAGAAAAGAAAATGTTTTGGAACCAGATAGAGAGGATAGTTACAGAACATTGTGAATATAATAAATGTCATTGAATTGCACACTTTAAAATGGTAAATCTTATACTGTGTAAACTTTATCTCAATGAAAAATATACAAAGTAAAAATTTTTTTCATAAATCAACTGCCATTTACTACTGATCTCATTGCCTAAAAGGAAAGATATTTTAACACTAAAGAGCTGGACAGTTTCACTATCAGTGTAGAGTGAAAACTTTGCAATTGAATAAATTTAACTTTATGAAAACTACACACCTAATTCTTGTAACTGTGTGAAGTCAGAGGAAATATTAATCATGATTCCATTTGTTTTATTCACTGTTGTATTCTCAGTACCCTGTGTTTAGCAGGCATTCAATAAATATTTAGTCTATGAGTGATAAAGGGAAAAAAAAGAGGGAAACCATCATCCATGTACTTCCTAAGAATTCAAGATTGGGGAATTAATCTTCAAATTACATATTAGCTTTATACACTTGCATTACTGCAGCCTGTATTTGTAACTCTGCCAAGAAGTTAAATAAACTTCTACTGGTATTTTAGGAGGAATTAGAGCTGGATATATCTAGTACTGTATGAAGAATGCTGGCATACATATGAATAAATAATAATGGATGCTTTAGTAATTTCATCTTCATAGTTAGAGGGAAGTACTGTATTACGTGGCATTATTGATAACACATCCACCTGAGTTTAATCCAGGAGACAAACTACAAGTTTAATTCATGAGACAAACTATGAGCAAGCAGATAATTTTAATAAACAGAATGAGGAAAAATTAATCTTATCAAATGTAGAATTTATGAAAATCAAGAAAAACAACTGAAGAAAAATTGAGGAAAATAAATGAAAAACATAACACAGGAAACTTAAATGCCCTATATAAATTCAATAATGAGCCATTTCAGCAAGAAACAGAAAAAGCTAATTAGTAATTAAAATGATACATTATTTAATATTCCAAGTGGACAACAGGCAAGAAATTTGAGAATTCTAGTTGTGGTGATGAAATGTATAGTCTTGTAGTGGTCAGATTTTACAAGCGATTTGGCAAACAATTTGGCATTATCTCTAGAATGTTAGCAGGCACATTTCCTAAAATCCCAAAAATTCATATCTAGCTCTATACCTCATGAAACTATGTATATGCTATGTGCACACAAAAGATATGTACATGAATTTTCCTTCCCATTCAGAAAAGACTAGAAACAAATAATAGTAAGTAGAAAAATATATTTTATATAGTCAAACAAAGAAATATTTTATAGCAATAAAGATAAATTATAGCTACATGCAAAAAAGATGATAAGTTTAAAGAACAAAACAAATTTTTTTGCAGGAAACTGTAGTACACAATATATGAAGCCATAAACAATAAGATAGCATTTTGCTGTATTTAGAAATTTAAAAAATGAAATCATACTAGTTTAGTGATAACTAAGAAATATGAAAAATTATTTTATTTTTTAAAGGCATGGAAATGGTGGCCACAATTAGGTGCTTGCTGTTGCTCACATTCATGATGTGGCCATGTGTGATGTTGACATGACCTGTGTAAGAATGCTTCAGAAAAATGTGTCCACATTCTGTGATGACAATGACATGCTGACCGTCACTATAAACTCAGGTAATAAAAACCCCAAATATGATAGGCTGGTTAATGTCTGTAAATTCACAGATGTCCTTTTGCAATTGATTTTACTGCCCTCTCAATCCACCTATAGAGATTTTTGCCCCACCCCTTGAATTTTGACCGATGTGATAGTTCGATTTAACCCGTGGAATTTGGGTGTAGAATGACTTCATGAGCCTACACTTCAAGAAGCCTTACAGGTTCTTTCTTCACTGTCCTGCAGGCACCGAGTAAGGAAATGGTGATGCCCACTTAGGAAGGAGAAGCCATGAGCAAAAGAAATAATGTACAGTATTTCCACTCACAGCCAGATACAAGCGGCCCCTATGAACCTTATGGTTCAGCAAACTCCTCTGCTCAGAACTGGGCCCTTGAATGAGTCTTGGTAACATCGTCAGAGGAATCATTCCAAAAGTGTGAAAAATAATAAATCTTCATTGTTTTCAAACATTAAACTTTGAGTCTGTTTGTTATGCAAATGAGATAAATAGCAAGAAAGGCTGAATTGCACAGTAAAAATTCAATCAAAGAAACAAAAAAAATAAATAAAGGAAGAATCCACAAAAATAGGAACCTTCAAAACAGCTGAATTTTCTGAGACATGTACTTGGACCAAATAGGTAACAAGTTACATCTGAATATTCATTCCCTGCAATTTGAACTTAATAAGAATTTAATTTTAGCTTCTATTTGGTATTAAAATTACAACGATGTGCTCACCTCAATTTTGGTAACAGTTTTATAGCAGTGTGAGTGCCTATTTAATATTTATTGCATAAATAAATAAATATTGAAGATACCTACTCCTGCTGCTAGGAGTGTTGGTTTCCTCTCCTACATATAAAAGTGGCTGAGATGGCAAATTGCTAACTTTGGTTAATATTTTGCTAAACATTTTACCAGGCAAGATAATAATGTAGAAATGATAGCTTAAAAGAAGGCATGATAATTGGATACCAGAGTTGGAAGTGAGATGTTTCCTGAAGGATAAAATGCGAAGTAATGCAAATAGTCTACAGCTTCAGACAGAGCAGTCTAGTATGGAGCTACAGTTCCTTCCTTGGAGGCAGGAAGAATTTTCTGTGCTCCAAACTAATCCTCTTCCCAAGGTCCCTCAAACCAGAAATGCTGCTCTTCTAGCTTAGCAAGGATTTCTAAAGTCCCAAGGAGGATGCATCCCATGCCCAGCTCCTAGACGACTCAGGAACATGCTCTGATGTTGAAAGAAAAGTCCTAATGTCCTCGAGGTGGGTCTCAGGCACCCAACACACTAAGCATAGGACACAGAAGCATCTCTCTGTGTATTTTTGGGCTATTCTTCTTAAGAATTTTTTTTTTTTTGTACTGGGGAATGAACTCAGGACCTTGTACTTGTGAGGCAGGCACCAGAACCACTGAGCTAAATCCCCGGCCCTGGGCTAGTCTTCTTGTCTTGATAGATAGAAGGGAATGGGATTAATATGAGAAAATGGAAAAATAGGAACAAAATTTTTGTAACTAGGGCTGGAGGGGTTGAAGGGAGGGCTGGGCAAGGGTGAAAAACTTCAGACACTTCTTCCACCACGTCCAGCTCTTCTCCTTCTAGAGTCTCAGGTCGTGGTAACTTCCTCTTTGTTTCAGATTGGAAGACAAAACAAAATCCTTTAACGCCTTCTTGACTCCTCTTTTTTTCACACTCATTTGACCTTGCAGCAACCTTAATATCACCCCTTATAATTCTTTGGGGAAGATACCCAGCAGGGGAATAGCAGGGTCAAATGGGACTTCCAGTCCTAGTTCTTTGAGGTAACTCCATACAGATTTCCACAGTGGTTGCACTAGCCTACACTTCCACCAGCAGTGGAGCATAGCAGCACAATTTGTAATAGCTTCAACTTGGAAACAGCCCAACTGCCCATCAACTGGAGACTGGATAAAGAAAATGTGCTTTTTTTAAATAAAATGGAGCACTACTCAGCCATAAATAATGAGAAATTAGAGACATTTATAGCTAA